AGACGTGTAGCCTACCGCCTTCTTCAACAACTGAACCAGTGAAAATGTTTTTTTTTTTTTTTTTTTAAGCAATTAAAGCTGTGACATTTCGGCCCATTGGAGCTTTAATTGCTTAAAAAATCTTCCCACAGTATTAAATATTATATAAAAATAAATATCTATTAGGTTGTTTCGAGCAAATAGTTTATCATTTCTTGTTTGAAAACTAATTTTGGTGAATTTATATAATTCTGCGCCTCTTATGTTTGTCTGTTTATTATGCAAATGAAGACTTAGTATAAGCGAAAAGATATTAAGTACAATGTTTCGATCCTATAAATAAAATGTGTTTGCTCTTTTATATAGCTTAGGGTTGAAAGCAGTTAGGACTAAAAGTAGTGGCGCCGAATTAGTTTTACTTTCCGCACTTCAAGACAGATTGGCCTTTTTTTTTCTTTTTTTTTCGTTACTGACGGGTTTTTTGGGACAGACGTTTTTATTCTGGTCTGGTGAATTGTATAAACCGAAGCGTAAAAAAAGCAATATTGAATCTTGACCTTGACTTTGCTTATTATGTTAATTGATAAATTAAAGTTATTTTGAAACGGAGTTCTACTGATTTTGGGTCGTATTGTATGTCAACACGGTGAGATTTACTGAATCTGTTGAGACCGTGTTGGGTGACTACATTACTTAACATGGTGTTGTATACCGCGTTCTGCCTTGTATGTTTATTGCTGTCTTATATCATCACGGTGTTCTCTTCATTACTTACTGTCACGATTTTATATGATATATCACTTTGTTGTTTTCTGTCGTGTTTATTGTAATTTTCTTTATTTTTTAACGATTTTTTTACGGGTTTGCTGAGATCATACGATAGTCGTTACCGACGTTTGTTAACTTACCCGTCTTGATTTACTTTAAACAATGATAATCCAGAGACATTTTTGGAGATAGGCTACAATCGTTTGTAACGGGTAGAACTACTTTTGATCTGGAATCAATTCTATCATGAACCAAGTTTCATGCAAGTGGGCCATAAATTTTATAATTCGAACCTTATCAGTCGGGATGTAGTCGAGAGAACCCTGTGTTGTGTGAATCCTACCAGTGAGGAGTAACCGAGAGAACCCTGTGTTGTGTGAATCCTACCATTGAGGAGTAACCGAGAAAACCCTGTATTGTGTGAATCCTACCATTGAGGAGTAACCGAGAAAACCCTGTGTTGTGTGAATCCTACCATTGAGGAGTAACCGAGAAAACCCTGTGACGTGCGAATCCTATCAATGAGGATGTAGCCGAGAGAACCCTGTATTGTGTGAATCCTACCAATAGGGATGTAGCCGAGAGAACCCTGTATTGTGTGAATCCTACCAATAGGGATGTAGTCGAGAGAACCCTGTGTTGTGTGAATCCTACCATTGAGGAGTAACCGAGAGAACCCTGTGACGTGCGAATCCTATCAGTGAGGGTAACCGAGAGAACTCTGTGACGTGTGAATCCTACCAATGAGGATGTAGCCGAGAGAACCCTGTATTGTGTGAATCCTACCAATGGGGATGTAGCCGAGAGAACCCTGTATTGTGTGAATCCTACCAATGGGGATGTAGCCGAGAAAACCCTGTATTGTGTGAATCCTACCAATGAGGGGTAACCGAGAGAACCCTGTGACGTGTGAATCCTACCAACGAGGAGGTAGCCGCGAGAACCTTATGTCGTGTGAATCCTACCTATGAGGAGGTAGTCGAGAGAACCCTGTGTTGTGAGGTTATTGCCTTACAAGTTGGAGAACGCACCTGCTTGGAAACGACTGCTACAGCAAAGAGGTGTGAAATAGAACGTGCACACACACACATCATCTCTCTACAGCCAGGTGGCGTGAAATAGAACGTGCACACACATCATCTGTCTGGAGTATATTTGTCCACCTCAGACTCAAAAAACCAGCTGAAGTGCTGAGCACGAAATTAGACTTCAATGTAACAAGAAGTGTGCTGTAACTTGTGTGTAATAAAACAGACATTTGATTATATATATATTTGAAATCCTCTTTTATTGAAGTATTGCAGATTTCTTGGAAACATGGGTTGAAAAAAACACCAAAAAACTGCCTCCTACAGAGAACAGTGATCAATATACAGATCGTATATCAAATCTTCCAGGCATCTACAGCAGTTCCAAGACAACTATGCCAGCTCAGTAAACACTTGAAGAACCGTACTCAGTATTTTGTTCACGAAAGCCTAATAATCCAGAACTTGTGCAAAATAAGTTGGTTTATTTTAAACACCCGCACTAATACTTATTTTAGTTTTCTTCATGAAATAAATTCTTATGGCTTAGATAAAAGTCAAGTTAATCAGGTTTTACTCCTGCAAAGTAAAATAGAGAATTGTAAATGAACGGAAATTCTCGAATTCTTCGTAGAAGTGTAAATGACAGAGTCGCCTTGAGACCAATTTTCTAGAAGCGTCTGACCTTCTTATGAGATAAGGACTGCTTTGTGGTATGTTCACACATACGTGATTATAAGTTCGGAGTAAGTTAAGTACCCGAAAGGGGGAGCTGTTTCTCCTCATTTAATGTTTTATAAGGTGAGACCACTGCAAATATTGTTACCAGCTGGAGTACTAACGGATGAAACAATGCATTTTAATGTTTATGAGTAAGAAAAGTATTTTTATTAGCTATTCTCACTACCAGTTTGTTTGTTTTTGTACTTTATCGAGAAACTAGATAACCGTAGATCCGTATCTTTTGGCCCCCACCCAGTGGCTCAAATATAAAGGTCGGAACTTATACGCTAAAAATCGGGGTTTGATATACGTGGAGGGTACAGTGGAGATAAACACAAAAATCAAACCGTATCTTTTGCTACAGGCTATGTTTACGTCATTCACAGCATGTAAAGCTTTACCACATTTTGTATTGATTACTAGAAAGGACCGCTCAATACAGCAGCGTTGAAGTTTTGTGACGTCACGTGCATGATCTCTATAGACTATGCACTTGTTAGATCTTATGTATAAAGTTTTTAACTTTGGGATTATAATTATGTCTATGATATACAATAAAGGACCATTTGACGCCCAATAAAGCAGCGTTGAAGTTTTGTGACGTCACGTGCATGATCTCTTTGGGCTATGCATTTACTTGTTAGATCTTATGTATGAAGTTTATAACTTTGGGATTATAATTATGTGAATAATATACAATAAATAAATACACCGCTATTTGTCATCAACCATAAATGACATTTTTTGACTTAGCTGCGTGTATTAGTCCTAACCTGATCACTTGTTATTTTGATAGAACGAAAAGTTTACCTATTGTGTTATTTTGAGAGAACTTCGAGTAGTCAAGTAAAAACAAACACTAACTGTTTCAAAATTACAAAATGGA